ATCATCATGGATCTCTATGGAAAGAGGACGAAAAATCGTGAACAACGGTATATTCGTTTTTTTTTTTCGATAAACAACTTGGCTTAAAAAAAATTTTAAATGAAAAAAAGGAAGTGAGTTTTGTTATAATCCGGTACATGTGCGTCCATTATAAAAATTTACAACCATTCATTTTGCCGTTGATCGCTTTAAATTCCGACGCTTTGGATTGGTTCCTTGGTTCCTTGATTAATAATAGTTCTCTATTGAACTTTTCCATATATATATATATATATATATATATATATATATATATATATATATATATATATATATAATTTTATTATTATTTTTTTTGTAGGTAAAAGATATGTAAATTATTTAGTGTTATACCATACATACCCTAAAGTCTGTTGACGTTGTTGATGCCATTGGATGCCTAGTGGTAAAACGGGCCATGACCACCAGTACCAAGGCTTCAGCCATGGTGCACTAGGAAATGTGATGACACTATTTGGCCCACATGGTACACTCCATCTCAATTTCAGGTCTATATATAATTAACACGTATATAAATCAAGAAACAACTAACAAATTTGAATTTTCTTATATAAGGTTGTTATTAATTAACAATATAACATAACATAAGTAATAATAAAACATAGATGTATGCATGCCGATATATAGAAAGGTACTTACAATAATAAGAAGCGTCCATTTGGTAGCCCAATGGGAGTCTAAAAGTACCATCAAGTTTGGTGCCATTAGGTGGTGGATGGAACATGGGCTGATCAAGAAGACATGGAAAGTAACCTCCAATAAAGCCTTGATCGGCTGCATCTGGATTATCTCTTTTAATATCTAGATCATGTAACATCTTCTTAAATACCTTTGATGATGGCTGCATATGTATATGCAAATTAATATCAATTAATGTACGTATATTAAATAGATTATTTTAATTGATAAAAAATTTAAAGGAAGCACGTACTAGCTGCTATATATATATATATATATATATATATATATATATATATATATATATATATATATATAAATTAATTAATTAATTACAAATGTACGATACATACCTGCAAAACAAAGAGGCCGGTATGGAAGATGCAAGGGTTGATGAAGACTGCACAGAAGTGGCCACATTGAAACAACTCATCTGTATTTTGAAGGAAAAGATTGTCGGCATCGAGCATGATCACTCTTTCATATTCTACTAAGCTCCATGCATACAACTTGTTTAGTGTTAGTTTGAATCGGTCATGGTTGCTCTCGCTTTGGTATGGGTTGTTTAGGTTCTCAACTCTCACCACCTTTGCCCCATCTTCCTCCTCCCTGTACGTAGTCGCACATTATTAATTTATTAACTAACAACTTTATTAACATGTATACTTATAAGTAGTTGGTCCATTTAGTCCCTAAATTATTTTCGTAACTTTATGAGGGAACGAATTCAGGGGCAACCTGTCTATTTAGTCCCATAGACTTGTTTTAACCGGTTTGCTTGCAACATCCGCAATATTTGTCACATCAACCATGACATGGAAACCAACTTACTTTAAGGATATGGATTTACTTTAAGGGTCATATATGGTTCGCCGAAGAACAGTTCTCAAGCTTTTGAAATTACAAGGTTTAATGCAGGAAGTATAACCCTAGAAGCTTTTAGAATGTCGTCTCCTTTAAGCTTAAGGTTTCTCTTGCTTTTTGACCTTTAGGTGGCACATAGATTAGCATTATTCCCCTTACCTTAGATACGGAAAGCATGTAATGGAATTTGAGAAGAATGAAATGCCCAAACATAGGTAGACCCAGGTAAGATATCAAAGAAAGCATGGTGAAAATGAAGATCAAATCTGGGGTGGTGTTGAAGTTTGCAAAATTCAAAAGGGGTAAAATTAAAGGGATGGACTTACCTAAAGCTAATGCATGTTGTGAAACATGAAGATAAGAAATAGACTGAACCGAAGAGGGTTGATTTTGCGACATCATTCCATATTATCAAATCATTTATCAGGAATCCGCTTCGATCGAAATTGTACCCATAATCCTCGTCGTTTCCTTTTGAAATAACAATACAATCAAGATGAGAAGGAAATCAATAGAACCCCAGATCAGAACAAGAAGTGAAGCAATATAAATCTGTTTTTTCTTACTTGGGGATGAAATGGAAGGGAAAGAAATTGATTTCTCCTTCTTCGATCTACTATTATGTCTCCTTTTCTTTGGTTTGTTGTTAACTCTCCTTTTCTTTGCTTTGTTTTAATAACAATCGACAATCAGATCTTTATCCTCTTCCTTTTGCCTCCTGGGTCTTCTAGTGTTTTTGGGTGAACATGTATTGGAAAATCGGTTCTTGTAGTAGCGACATGACCATATAGGTCCGCGGCCTCCTCAGATACATCGAGTCTGGTTTTGATCTATTGGAGGGGGAGGCGAAAGGAGGAGGAGGTACCACTTTTTGGGGTTTTGCATATCCTTTCAAAATTCGAAAATGATGTAATGGACTCGACAAAAACGAGTTTGTTCCCTCGTAAACCCAAAAAAATAGTTTTGGGACTAAATTGACCAACCTTATTCTAAGTCCGCATGACAATTATGTCATTTCCCCTTACTAATTTATTAACTAACAACTTAATTAACATATATACTTATAAGTAGTATTTCCTTTAATTAAAGCTTAATTTTGAATATATATTAGCTAGGATATCAAAATCACAAATACATTATATAGACGTATATGGGTCAGGTAGCTAGCTACCTAGATCATTAATTAAGCCGCTAGTTTAATCTTTAATTAGTTAAATAAAGAAAGTTCTGATCGATCGAGTGTGGAGGACTTTCTTGGGTGGCTAGCTAGTGCGTACGGCTTAGCTAATTAAGAAGACACGATCTAGACAAGGGTATTGCGTTTGAGAATGACACTGATGGATGATCATCAAGTTAATTAATCAATTTTATCACATAATTATATAATAAATTAGGGAAAATGACATATATGTCTTCCGAACTTTCTAGGGTTGGTCCATTTAGTCCCTAAACTATTTTTATGGTATTACGAGGGAACAAAGTAATTTTTATCGGGTCGATTACGTCATTTTGACCAAAGTGAAGGGGTCACCCGGTTACATTGACATCTGTTGGCCAATTTTCCCACATTGAATTTGAATTTCGCTTATGCGTCAATATTTTTGTAACACCCTGTTCCGAATCGTTTTCTAATTCAAGGCCGTAACCTGAAGATTGGTTATCATAAGGCTTAGGGCCTTTGGGAAAGATGGATTTCGACCCATTGGGTGTGGGTAAGGTAAGTTAGATGATCCGGGAGTTCGGTTTGTGTTTTGAAGCCAAGGGGTATATCGGTAAAGTGTCAGTCTGAGCTTTTTATGCATTTTGGATTTTAGCTCAGGAAGTCTTAAGGCAAGGATGAGTTAATAGAAGTGTATCGCTTCTTGTTACCTTTCTGTGGATATAAGGATTGTCGAAATGGGCCCAGAACGAAGGAGTTATGGTCGATTGAAGTTGAAGCATTTTGGAGCTTGTTCGAGTATGCAGCGTGTAGAGGGTGTAATGATTGTGGGTGACATCTAACTACGCCGGGCGTACTCAGAGGTACGTGGGGCGTAGTCCCTTCAGCTTGAAACCCTAATTTTTAGGGTCTAACCCCTATTTAAGCTCATTATATTCTTAGGGATTTGCCTCTTATCAGCCTCTATATCTCCTAAACCCTAATATCGACCCATAGCCACCATTTTTGAGTTCTTAAGCTCTTGTGAGGAAGTTTGGTGTGTTCTTGAGCATTTTGAAGATAATGAAGGTTGTTGAAGGAATCATCACTTGAGTGGAGCTTGGAGATCCAGAAGTTACCCATCTTATGCAACCAATTGAATGTAAAATGCTCTTATCTTAACATCCCATTGGGGTAGATCTAGTTTGGGGTGGTTTATGGCACATTTTGGACTTTTTGGATTGTCTTTATGTGAATGACTTTGCTCCATGAGTGTGGTCACTGGATCTGGATGTTTTAGGGGTCCCAAATGCATAAAAAGGAAATCTTGATGGTTGATATCTACCCATGCATGTGTATTTAGCTCTTTGGATGAAGTTATGAAGCTAGGGCTTGGATTTGAGACCCATTGAGCCATACAAAAGCTCAAAGTTAACGACTTTATGGGTTGAGTCATGATTTGGAACTAGTTCTGAGCATTGTGCGTTTTGGCTTAAGGGTTTAAGACCTTTTCTCTATGAGTTAGGAACATACAGCGTACGCGGGGCATACATCTTGGTACGTAGCGCGTACTAAGTCAACCGGGTGTATGTTGGGCGTACCAACTAAGTACGCGGGGCGTACTCAGTCTGATGGGCTTTCTTGAATTGTTGACTCTTGGACCTTTGACCATTGACCAGAAGTTTGATCTGGATTGAGCAATGGATATTTTAGGCCTTTTAGGATATTAGGCCTCTTGGATTAGGCCCATGATGGGTTTTGGGCCCAATTTGGATAATGGGCCATATTGGGTTTTGTTGCTTTTGGGTTGGGCTTTGGACTTTGGGCCAATTGAGGAAAGGGTAAAATGGACTTTTACCCTGAGTATTGGTCAGTCAAAATGAGTTTTCAGCTATGGGTTAAGGACCAATCATTTATTTGGTATTATTTGATGTTGATAGCATCGGGATTTGTCGGACCAGCAGGCAGAATATTATCTGAGAGGTTCAGCAGATAAGGTGAGTCTTCCTCACCATGTTTAGCGGGTCAAAGGAACCAATGTTGACCTAGGATTTATTATGTTAGGGTGCTAGATGTCTACGTGACTCTTGTATATGTATGTGTTCGTATGCTTAGTGGTCGGGGCCTAAAGGTTATTCTGTATGCTATTACTTGTTATGATTGAATGCTTGTATGTTGGGCAGGGCCCGTTGTGCGAGTCAGGGAGAGGCCCATTATACTCAATGGGCGGGGCTCGTTATACGAATTAAGGTAAGGCCCATTACGCTCATTGGGTGGGGCCCGATTCTAGGCGGGGCCCATTATGTGTTTGATATGTATGGTATGTGGTATTTTGGGGAACTCATTGAGCTTTGTGCTAATGGTTTTTATGGTTATAGTTTCAGGTACTACCGGTTCGAAAGGGAAGGGCCTGACTTGATCGCAACACATCGACCCATGTTTCCGTATTACGATGATTTTGGGATTGTACTCTGATAATTGTTTTCTTATAAAGTACTTCTGAATATTTGGAAAAAATATTCTGAATGTTGACTTAAAGATAAATAATGTTTCGGCTAAATTAAAAATGGAATTTTTACCTCATAATTTTAGGTTATTACAAGTTGGTATCAGAGCCTTAGTTTTAGGGATTCATGCACACTCTCGGGTATGTCTGAACTCAAACCGAGGAATTGTTAATATTTCGAAAAGAAAAATGAGTTTCTGAAAAGATTTTGAAAAATGAATAAATTGCAAAAAGGATTTTATAAAGGAAAAAGGGGGAGTGATGCGTGCAATCAGCCGAGCTCAAGTAAGTGATTCTCAGAACACCATACATGTCTGTTATGATTATATGTTATGAGAATTGCATGCTAGGATAAGGCTAGGGATACTTTCAGGAATTGCATGATAGATTGGGCTGATATGTGATGCCTTGTAGCCTAGGTAGCATTGGATACTATGCTAGATTGGGAAAATGTATTGGTATCGGGAATTGCTAAGTGTATGCTTTAAGAATTGTATATGGTTAAGATCATATAGCCCTAGAATGATTGATTTAGCCTTATTTCTTTTTCCTCGTTTGGTTGTAGTCCTAGATAGAGTCTTTTATTCGACAGTCTATTTGATCTTGTATTGTGTATAATTTGCATGCATAAGGAAACCGGAAGGGAGAGTAGACATTCCTAGCATGAGTTGTAGTATGGAAGTTTGAATGTTCTTTGGTTATTCTACGGATTGGAGTGCTACTGCAAGAATGTTGCTTGCTTTGTGCTTTGTGGAACTCTTAAGTGATGTGAGTTAGCTATTAAGTGAATATGTCAAGCCACATGTGACAAACGTTGGATAATCTCAGAGTGATGGATTTTACCCTATTACGCAGATCTCGTTAGAGTCTAAACGTTGTAAGGATGCGTCTTTTACTCGAAGGATTATCTAAGCTTTGTTACATGTGATTGTATTCATGAGGTAGATCGCTAACATTATGGGGAGTTCCTCACCAGTGGATGGCAGGGTGAGGTCGGAAACCTAGGAAAGCCTAAGAAGTGCTTCAGTGTGTTAGTTGCACTGTTCAACGAGCTTTTGGAGCATCAATTGAGAAGGTGGCGTAAAGGATTCAGAATGATTCTTGAGGAAAGTATGGATAAGGGTGGAAGGTAGTATTGGGCCCGTACTGCTGAAAACGTAGGATCCATACTCGAATCGGAGGGACTCTTGGAGAATCTAGGAAGCCTGTGGGATGAGGATTCTTGGATATGTTATGATCATTTGCATGGTTGTTTTTCAGAATGGTGATGAGAACTCAAGAAGGAGGTTCGGGTTCGGGTTCGGGTTCGGGTTCAGGCTCAGGTGATGGTACCGAGCCGATTGATGAGCGGATGCGAGAGTTCATCTCGTCAGAGATTACCCGTGGTATTTTAGAGTGGACTCTTGTGATCTTTGGTTCAGTCAAGGAAGGGATTTTGGAACTCTTTGATGGTCGTCTGGGGGATTTTCAGACCGAGATTGTAGCAGGACAGTTGGGGGCCCATTAGGAGCTCAAGGCTTGTGGAGCTCTAGAATCCTTTGGGAAGGAGGATCATTTTGCTAGCTCTTGTTGTAAGGGATTGGAGGTGGGTTATGCATCATGACTTCCGGGAGATCAATCCTATGATTGGATTGCCACCGAGGTTTCACAAGCTTTACGCGACGAGTTACCCAACATCATTGATCGTTCCGATGATAGATTGGTCGCCAGATTCGAGGGTCGAATCTCGACTGTTCAGGCAGTTGATGGGGTGGTCGAGGTGACTCAGGAACAAGAGATTGATTTGGAGAGGCAACCAGGGAAGAGGAAGCGAAACCATGGTCCGACTCGGCTAGCAGCATCTGAGCAGTTGGATGTTGCCATGTATAGCGTTAGAGGCCCGAGGGGTCATAATGTTTTTGCGAAGGATGAAGGAGCACATGATGAGCATGTGTGCGACAAGTATAAATGTGGCAGGTGCGGATGGAAGGGCCACCTCTGCCTAGAATGCATGTTGGAGGTAGAATTGTGTTATCGTTGTCATCAGCCTGGCCATATCAGGGTGAATTGCCCATGCATAGTGGTTGGGGCAGATCGGGTTCCATCGCAGGTGCTTCGATGGGAAGGGGAGGTCAGGATTTCATCAGATGTTATTGCGACTATATTATCTTTTGCTTTCCTCTTGATTATTATTTGTATTTATATTGCATTGGAATCTTGTTGGGTATGGGTAAGGATTATCTCTGGTTTAGTTCGATGTTA